GTCATTACGACGCAATATGAAGATCCATGGAAAAATTTCACCTATAATTAAGAAGAATAAACCCGTTCAGCCTCAGTTCATTAATAAAATTTGGTTTGAAAAGGTGAAATTGTGAAAAGATGGTAAATTCATCGGTAAATCTTCTGCTGATTCTGGTGGCAAGCGTATGCGCTGCACCTGAAAAAAGTCATTCAACTGCGCAAAGCTCAAGTACACCAACCAATGTTGGCTTTAATGTTCAAGTTTCAGCTGACATCGCTGAAATATTAAAGAAAAATCCAAGCCTTGGCATAACTGTACCTTCCGTATCAACGTCAGCCGATAACCCAATTGAAGTACATATTCCAGCTGATCAGGTCAAGTTTTTGCACACAAAATACGAGCCAGAAAGTCAAAGGCAGGCAAAACTTGAAGCATGGATTGAACATGTAAAAAAGACGTCATCTCAACTTGCAAAACAAAAATCAAAGCTGATCGATTTATACAACAAAATATTTAAGATGAAAAATAGCGCTGCATTTAAAGAGATGCTAAAAAATGACGGATATAAATATGTTATAAAATCTATAACAACCGAACCGATTCATATCGACTTTCCCAACTTGCCGGATTGGCATAAAGACGAATTCGAAGAGTGGCGCCATGACATTCTACCAGATTCAAAGATCTTTTGTTTCGAGTATAAAAAAATCAACTATAAATTGCTAGTGAATTTGGGCAGTCAGGACTGTAATGATGGCGTTTTTGGCGCTTTGTATGGTGACAAAAGCGAGAAAATAGTTGATCTACTATCAACGGGAGACATGGAAACAACAATTGAATCGATAAAAACTCATGATGCGGTGATAGAACATGGTTTTTTGGCTCAGTTACCACCATATTTGAGATATTTTGAGGTTAAATTACATGGAAGCACCCAGCTTGAATATTTGATATTCAAAATTTTAACTGAAAATGATTGTCTTTATGATATTGATGGAATCGATACGGAATACTGTGATGACAGCGATAATGAAGATTAAGCGTTAATGAAAATCAGAGATTCTCAGAGTAATGTGAGGGGGGCGTTCTGAGGGTTGAAGGAGCAAAGCGAGGCGGAGTAATAGGCTCAAAAATTAAAAGTTAAAAAAATTAAAATTCATAACATTATCAATTTTCTCTGCTCCCCAGTGCTCCTCCACTGCCTCAGACCGTCCATCCTCACATATACTGCTCTGTGAAACAGTCTCTGATAAAAATTCACTTACTAAACCACTTAATAAACCACTTTTTGTCGAACAGCATATTTTTTCCTGCGAATTCAAAACAGGTTTTAAGCTCTTTGCTTGTGATTTTAACTTTGTAATTTCGCTAATTTTTTCAAAAAACCCAATTTTTGTTAACCCAAATTGTTTACGAAGAATCATCTTTATTTGATAATAAATGTATTGTATTACAATTTAAAGTGGATAAACAATAATAAATTGATTCTAAATGTAGAATGAAACGTGTTATCATTTTTATTCACAATTTCATTTTGATTTTTCGCAAGTCATGGCGAATTTCAATAAAATCCAATTAATCGATCGCAATCGATAACAATTTGATGATTCGTCCGTTTATAACTTCAATTCTCATTTACAACATGGCTTAATTTCAGCCTTTGAAGCAAAAATACCACCCACAATAGGTGTGCGGAAATGTAAAATACTAATTCTTTGAATTGAAAGCACACGGTTTATAGGTGTAAATCAATATTTTATTTGAAATACAATTGACGTTTCGATTCTGTGTATATATATCTTTATCGTTGTCGTGCAGTTGATTTCATGTTTTTCATTAAATTAAAAACTTTTGATTTTGCACGATTTAAAATTGCTTTGACCATAGTTTTTTAGTAAATAGTGTTTGAATGTCTGTTATTAATGATTTTCTTTTCTTGAAACAAATGAATAGCCTTGAACTATCTTATTAACAATATGTTGAAATCTATTATCAATATGTTTGATGTCAACATATAATAATTGGCAAACATGTTTTTTTATGTTACATAATGTGTTATCAACATATTAATGCGTGTCAAGATGTAACTGATTAAAAAAAATAAAACGAATGATGAACAAACAAAAAAGCTATTGTCATACACTACAAAACGAAGTACACTCTCTTACTTTTTTCTGTGCCTCTGTTGTTGAGCTTTGTGTTTGATATGATTCTTTTATCAGTGAGTAAATTTTGGTTTTGTATGTGTGTGTGCGGTGTTCAGGAGAGCACTGCTTTAAATTTCTGCAATTCGTTGACAACTCAAGTTAGTTTAATTTGGACAGTTTAGCCAGAAACAACTTTTGTGTGTGCCATTGTGTGTTTTCTATACATATTTTTTAATAAAAAAAAATAAACAAAAATTTCAATATAAAAGTGGAGTAGAGAGAATTTACTAACGGTTAAAGAGATCAAGATGAAAACCTTGATTACAATTCTCTTTTCCATAGGTGTAACAATCATCGTTGACGCACGAAGCAGTGGAGTTGATACTGGAGATGATATTGCATCAATTTACAGAGGTCAGTAATACTGAGTGACTACGCCCATTCATTGCTATAAAAAGCAATTTTTTTGGTTCAGAAAATGACTATTTTTTTGACCAGATTGTGTGCTTCTATTTGAGTAAAAATCCACATGAAATTATCACGTTTTTTCCTTATCAATGAATCAATTTACTTTTTCCCATGCTATGCGTCACTCTTTAAATGACGTGCATTCCACTTAAAACATGATCATTCGATTAGATTCCTTTGTATATACTATTGCGTTGTTTTTGAATAATTTTGTTTCTTGAAACAATCTGATGATAGCACTTAAGTGAAGATAACATTTGAAAGACTAGATTACAATGACAGCAATGATTATGATTAAATTAAGAAGGAGCGGAAACAAATGACTATGCTTTTAATTTTGTTTTTCAAAATAAGTTTGATTATACATTCAACTACGAAGCGATAATCTAATCGATATCGGTCACGTGCCACTAACAATTGTTCATATTACGTAATACGCTTTTTAAGTCTTTTTTTTTTTAATTTGAAGTCTTTTTTTAATTTTCCCATTATATATCATGTTTATTCGAATTTTTCACAAATAGTTAAAGTTTTAGATTCTTTACCGAATCTGTTGTCCATACTAATCTCATCATTTCATTCTGAATTTTAACTTTTTTAATCGAATTCATCAAACCGAACTAAAATTGAATTGTTTTCCAATTGAAGGCGCCCATTTGAATGGTTTGGAAAATCAGCCTCACGCATTTGTTACATTTGGTGCAACGGTAAGATTCTTTCTTTTTATCAGTTTTTATATCCTTTCAAAATTACTCTCCGAAAAAAAGTGTTCTTCCCGAAAAAAGAATGAGAATCGGAACCCAAAACGTTCTCATAAACCGGAAACATTTAATCAAACGAATTAGTCATTTTCTGTACTGATTCAAAACTGATTTTCAGGGTGATTTAGCAAAAAAGAAAATCTATCCCGCTCTATGGTCGTTGTTCCGTGATAATTTGTTGCCAAATGGAACCATGTTCTTGGGATGTGGTCGCACTAAATTAACAACAGCTGAATTTCGCACCAGATTCGAGCCATATATACAAGTCAACTCCAGTGAACGAGCTCGATACGAAGAATTTTGGGGATTGAATCGTTATGTGGCCTCAAAATATAGTTCTCACGATGACTTTAAATTATTGAATGACGAAATTAACAAATTGACAAAAGGAACCAATGCAAATAGACTTTTTTATTTGTCAATTCCACCCACCGCATTCATTTCGTTTACCGAATTGATCAAAGCTAATTGCATGGCCGAAAAGTGAGTATAAAAACCAATGTGTTGTCCAATGTGTTTTAGATTTGCCGTTTAATTTGTTCTAAAAATGTATTTTTGTTTCTCTCACCAGAGGCTGGAATCGTGTGGTCATTGAAAAACCATTTGGTAAAGATACCGAATCATCGAAAAAATTGAGTGATCATTTGGCAAAGTTGTTTGTTGAAGAGCAAATCTACCGCATGGATCATTATTTGGGACAAGAAATGGTGCAAAATTTGTTGACCTTTCGATTTTCCAATAAAATCTTCAGTCCAACGTGGAATCGAGACAACATTGCTGCCGTTATGATCACACTCAAAGAGCCATTCGGTGTTGTTGGTCGGGGTGGTTATTTCGATGAATA